AAGGTGACGCTTTAGCCAGGAGGCGAGGGCGTACACGCTGTCTTCCTCCGGAAGAGCGGAGGTTTCGCCTTCGAACTCGGCGACGATGGCCCGATAATGGCCAACGGTTGCAGCAAGGACCCCCTTGACCGAGTCCAAACGCCTCGTCGACAAAGACAGTTGCTCCCCCACCGCAGCCGCGGATTCCTTCTCAGAGGCCAGCTCTCGCCGGAGACCCTCGGCCAACTCGTTCGCCCTACGGGCCTGCTCGGTGGACAAAGCTTCCGCATCCCGGGCCTTGGCGAGATCGGCCCTCAAAGCCTCCTTTTCTTGTTCCTTCTCCGCCAGAGAAAGGCGGAGAGCTGCAAGGGAGTTGGCCAAACCCCCTTTTTCACCTTCCAGGCGCTTGTTCTCGGCCTTGAGGGCCTCAATCGCAGTATCTCGGTCGGAGACCTCGCGAGTGCAGCGCTCTTCCATAACAACGGCCGTGTGATACCCCTGCGATCAGAAAGAAGAAGACCAAGGCGATCAGCAATAGAAACAAAAACAAGTCTAAAAAAGAACATACACCAAAAAAGGCAAAACAGCCGAAGACGCACCAAGCTCTGGTGTTCTAGATGAACACGGAGAAGTTGGAAGAAATCCATGTCCCTTAGACGCTGTTTGAAGCGATCTGTTCAAAGAAGAACAAACAAACACAAAACAATAAGGTGAGAAAAGCAAATCTCACAATAAATACACCAATTGCCAGAGACCACCTCCGACGTCTCCAAGAACCCCAAGATAGCACTCTTCCCAACCTGAGATAGAAGTGTCGGAGGAGCCTGTGTAGCAAAAAAAACACACAACAACAACAACAACTCAGGTCAGAGGGCCGATCAGAAATAGGCAATAACAACAGGCCAACAAACGAGTAAGATAAAAACACTCTATACTCACTCGGACCCGGCACCATCAGCCCCGGTTGCCCCGAACCAAACCTGATGCTGGCAGCGGCCGCTCGCTCCTGCGGGGTGAGGAGTCCACCCATGACATCACCTACAAAGCAACAAGTACACGGTATTAGCACTTGGTACAATACATAAACAAATAAACCGGGCGAAGACAGTAAACACAAAAATATGCGCCAAACAAACTAACTCATAAAAAGCCTAGGCTGGGCCGCCTGCTGAGCCCCCTGGGCAAATGTCTCCGCCATATCATGCGGCGAAGGCCCAAAGGGCTAGCTCTCCTCAGCCAGCGGCCTAGAGGGCGGAGGGCTCGAAGAAGACTGAGCCACTGGCGCCTGCTCAGCAAGCACGGCCTCCGGCTGCCCGATGTCTGCCGCAGGCACGGAGGAAGGCGCAACAACGGCGGGAATCGAAGGAGCGTGCTGCAAGGTGACCTCTGCGCCATCTTCAGAACTTGAATACAGCCCGCCAAGAATGTCAGGCATAGGATCGGCGGCGCTAGCCTCCGGCTGTTCGGCGAAACTCGCAACACCGTGCAAGGAGCACGCCGGAGCAGCGCTGGCCTCCGGACGCCCAGCACCGCTCACAGCGCCGCTCACAGGGCGCACCGAAGCTCTAGGAGAGCCGCGATCCTCACCGCTCGTGACCCGCACGTCCACTGACGGGACGGAGGAGCTCTAAACGTCTTCACTGCCGGAGGAGGCAACGCCAGCACTACCGGCCGAAGATGCGGCCGCCGCGATCACCAGAGCACCGGTCTTTTCTTCTTTTTTGCAGGCACCTGAGTTACAGCAGTGTCCCTCCTCTTCTTGGACTCGGCCTCCGCCGTAACATTCTTCGCAAAGGCCTTCTTCTTCTTGTCAATTGAAGCTAGGACCTCGGCGGGAACCTCGCGCTCCCGGTAGATGATCCCGAGCTCCTCAAAAACACGATTGAGCCACGGCATGGTGCCTGCCACGGCTCTCTGAGACGTGTACTCACGCTCGGAAATTTTGTCAACCAACCCGACGGTGGCCTCCTCAACGTCGGCAACGAAGCTGTCCTCCGTCACCCTCTCCCCTAAAGACCGGCCAAAGCGGGGGAAAGGAATCCCGGCCTCCGGACCAAAAACAGGAATCTTCACCTTTTCCAGCTGAAAGGCCGGGTTGTCCTTGCCCATGGGCCAGTAGTTGGAGGCCATAATCTCCTCCACCAGGTCGCGGCCCCCGGAGTAGCGGCACGCAGCCGCAAAAGCCCCGTCGTAAGCCTTCCTCGCCGGAGACTCTTCCTCCGGTGGATCCACGCGCGTATGCGGCGCCATCTCCTCCATTCTTGAAGTCAATGGATACTCCACGACCTCCGCACCATCCTCGGTAGTGCCGCGGACCCCGTAGGTCTTCACGTAGAACCACCGCTCAAGCCAGCCGCGGTCCCACTTGCCCTTCTAGCAAAAAGAAAGCTCCAGGCGGTCTATGCCCTAGTTCCTCTTTGACATAAAGGTGCAACTACCATACTGGTAGGTCACCTCCACCTCCTTGCCCTCCCGCACCTCCTTCTTCTTCTTTGGCTGCTTCTGCAGCTCGTAGTATGCGCAGAAGGTGTCCACATCCAGCTCGGCACCATAAGAAACACACGCCCAACAAAATTTGCTGAGCATAAGGAAGGCCGTAGGGGTCAGATGGTGAACCTGGACGTTGAACGTCTCCAACACTCGGCGGAGGAAGGGGACGTAAGGAAGGCGGAGGCCGCAAGTGAAAAAATCCCGAAACACCACCGCATACCCCTCCTCCGGCTCCGGAACGGTCTGGCCGGGCGGAGGGATTTTTGCCCTCGAAGAAGGAAAATACGATTCCTTCAACATCTCCGTGACCGCCTCTTCAGTAATGGAGGAGGGGCCAAAATCCCATAACTTTATCGCCATGTCTTTGGAATCCGCAGCGATCAGGTCTCCGACAGACGCAGAGACACTCCCCAAATCCTCCTCCACTAGCTTTTCAAATTCCAACGCGGAGGCGGAGGAAAGCATGCACTCCTCAAAGCGCGCACTCCAGCCGGAGGCCCTAACGCCGAGAAGGTGGCGATAGGGTCCGAAGAAGGCAGGCCGGCGAGTATGGGCGGAGGCGGAAAAGGAAGCCACCGTGGCGGCAGCCTAGGCGGAAGACGCAAGCGGAAAGACGGAACGCGCGAAGGCAGCTCAGGCGAAACCGAAGAGAGTAGAGAGCGATTTCTCAGAGGCAAGGAAAGCGAATGAGCAATGCGGGGGGGGGACCCCGCAACCAACCCCGCCCTTATATAGGACACGGGCGGGCGGTTCGGCTACCGCCGTACAACGGTCATCTCCGAAAAATTCGCCTGCCGCCCAACGGTCATCTCCGAAAAAGTCGCAAGGTATACAACGGAAAGCAATACGGCGTAAACGGACACAGCGTAGGACAACGGCTAGTTTTGCAGCCTAACGGCTACTATGACAAGACCAGCGGCCACGCCAGAGCGGGCCAGGGGGGAACCTGCGGGGATCGGTCGGAGACGTGACTACGCGCAGTCTCCGCCCCCGTGGACGTCCTTGCTTAGGGCGTTTTGAGTTCACGACACGCTCGGGTGGACCGTGGTCTCAAAAGGGGGGAACTGTTGTAACAAGGCCTCCGAGGGTGGCGGAGACCTACGCGGCCAGCAGTTCGCGGAGACGTCTCCGACTGACTACCTAAGCAAAGGCCCGGCTACCATGCCTCTAGACCCAGAAAGATGACGGTTTCTCAGACTGCTTGCAGGACGCCGCCGGTGACCCTGGCGCAGCCTCCGCCCGGTTAGCTCGTAGGCTCTCCGGCCGGAAGGGGCGGAGGCCGCCCCGCTGCAAGGCTAATCAAGTGCAAACGTTATCTACGTGTGTGTGCAGGTAACCAGAGGAAGGCGCTCGTGGACGGCGCGGGCGTGCCGGTTCGACCTCCGCTCGCAGTGGCAGAGACCCAAGCAGGAGGACGACAATACTGGGCGTCGGGGGTCTACGGCGTCGGCATCCCAGGGGCAGAGACCGATGGCGGAGGCCCAAAGGCCCATCGCCGAATCCTGAGGCCTGATGGGCCGGCTGATCGTGCAGGCCCAGTACATGAGGGCGGCAAGACAAGATTACCCCCGAGAAGAAAGGCGAGTAGTGGGATATTCCGAGAATGTACTGTAGCAGTTGAAGGGTACTATTGTAAACTCTGTGAAAGTGGTAGTTGAGCCCTATAAATAGGGAACACTTGTAACAGTACGAGAGGTTGATGAATGAATTAATGAAACCCTAGTTTTACGTGCCATTTTCCTACACGCCCGCTTGTCGTGTTTGTTTCCCGAGCCTCAGCCTGAGGGCAGCGCCTGGCGGGCGGAGGCCTCCACCTCCTCCACATTGTCGGAGACCGCAAGTCTCAACAGTAATTAACAACCACTCTATTTGTACTGCTTAGTAATTCAAGAATTGTTACTTGCAGGCAGTTTAATTGGAGTAGTACCCATTCTTTGTCTAGTCTGTTTAATTTATTTGCCATTTAGTACTGCACGTATATGTGTGGTCGCTAGATACAAATCTTTGACAAAAGTCCTTTTAGTATAGTGTACATGTGTTTGAGGAAATAAAATAATGAACTGATACATTGCAGCACTACATGCATCAGCAGTTGTGATTTAAATTTAATGCATAATGTCAAAGGACGCATATATATTGAGTTAGTTTTGACGGCACTATTCAGTTTATATTTGATCTTTCTATATACATGATATCACTCACTTTGGAGGATATCTCTCACTTTGGAGGGCATCATTGAGAGGAGGAAATGTGGTTCATGCAACAAGCAGGCTGCTTTCCTCTACGTGCTTCTCTCGAGCAATGAACTATCCCACGATGACAAAGTCTCCTTCGTGCTGGACACCTTGCTAGCAGGCTATGAGACAACATCAGTTCTGCTCTCCTTGGCCGTATATTTCCTTGGCAAATCTACCGACAGCTTGGAGCAACTGAAGGTATATACATCGAATATAGGCATATAGCATCACAGTTCGAGGCGTAGTTAATTGTGTGCTGGTGATCTTGCCGCTAATTATTCTTCTGAGGACACGATGCTGCGGAGAGAGCATGAGAGCGTAAGGTCCGGCAAGGGGACGGGGGAGTTCTTGACTGCTGAGGACTACAAGAAGATCCAGTACTATACCCAAAATGTCTGTGAGATCTGCATACATACATGGTTATTTGATCCATTATTCTGCTGTGAATTGCTATACCCAACTGTGTTAAACAATCTATATGAATACACATACATGGACCATAAATTTGGATGCATATGATGTCGTCGCAGGTTATCAACGAGACGTTAAGAGGCGGCAACGTTGTCAAGTTTGTGCACAGGAAAGCGCTGAAGGATGTCAGATATAAAGGTAACAAAAGGTTTTTGTTGAACTAGTTAGTTTCTCCAAATTAAGTGCAGCCTGTTTTTTTTTCCCTCCAATAAACTTGCCTAGTTGTCATTGTTTGTTTCCTAATACTGGCAGTGCTGCCTTATGATTAATTATCCCTAGCTACTTTAGATGTTAATTGTAGTTTACCCCAACGTTGTTCACTCTGCACCCATTTCACTCTGTCTTTTCAAACTGAAGGTTGAGTCGATCTGCACCCATTTCCTTATGACCATTTAACGATGTCAATTATTCAGCTGTAAAGTAGTATATCCCTGCAGATTTATTAGTCATACACTCATACCCCTGTTTGGACATCAGGCATTTTGCTTGATTTCAAAAGCATTCATACTTTACAGAATTTGCCTACTCCGATCCATTTCAAATTTGACGGAACTTTGACAAATTATGATAAGAATTTTTTCACGCAAGCATAAGTTGCATATATATATTAAACCGAAAGCCATATAAGGCAATCCATAACGTAGAATCTCATATCAGACATCTTTTAATTTGTTGGCTGATTTTGTTAAAACTATCTATACCAGGGTATCTCATCCCAGCTGGTTGGGAAGTACTGCCTATTTTTGGTGCTGTTCATTTGGACCCCTCACTTCATGTGAATCCCCAACAGTTTATGCCTTGCCGATGGAAGGTATACATATGATTATCTTTTCTTTTCCTCAAAGTCTATCATCCACTGAACTAGAAGATAGGGACCCTTCACAAGCAGAAAAAACAAAAATTATGGTTGCTAATGATAAACATATACATATATATTGAATTGAGATTTTTCTTTCTGTCAGAGGACATACTTTTTCCATGAGAGCATTCTTGATGTCCACCGTAGGCTTTTCTAACAATGTTAACAAAACCAACTATAACGTACTTAGAGCAACATTTATATCCTTTCGTTTGATAGGAATAGAGATTTTGGTAATAAAAAAAAAGTCCCCTCCAATGACTTTTCAATATAATTAGGTCTTAAAATAATTTCATCCTCTATTCATATGGTTTCTCGTTCATTAAGATAGAGAGTTAAGCTAGTTTTCGAAAATACCGAACAAAATACAGAGAAGTTGTTGAAGGATGTAGAGATATAGAGAGCAATTTTTATTAGAATAAAACCTCAAAAAAATTATTAGAATAGCCCTCTAAGTAATAATTTATTAGAGAATGTGTTTAAGAAATTGGTTTGAGATGGTCTTACACACGGATATAGCTCATGGTCAGCTACCAATAAGCTTTTGGTGCAGTGTATTAGTTATTTGTAGTTGTTATTATGATATCTTTTGATGCCAGGATACGCGCACAAAGTATCCAGTACATACAATATTTATTTTCTAATAACATACGTTATACGTATGTCCTAGATAGTACTGCTACTGCTACTGCTAGCTTATGATATCAGTGCATATATTTGTTGGATCGCGTGGCGTGCTGGTGTTTGACCTGACCAATCCAACCGATCCATGAAATTACAGGGTGTGAAACAGACGACGACCAAGACGTTTACACCGTTCGGCGGTGGCCCCCGGAAATCTTCCGGTCCGAACGTTCGGACCAGAGCAGCGCGCCAATGATTCCGCAGCGACTACCCGCGCGTTGGCGAGTATACGGGTCCGCAGCGACTTCCCGCGCGTTGGCGAGTATACGGAAGAATCGGCCCAACGACCGAGGCAACGGCCCACGTAGCGCACGAAGCCATCCCCGGCACGAATCGAAGCGCAGCCAACCACTCTCGGAAGGCTGGTAATTAGCTTCTCTTTTTTTTCCTTTTTATTATATTTCTTCTCTTCTTAACCCCATGTAGTTAGCTTCTCTTTTAGTTTTCTTTCTTATATTCTTTTTTATTTTCTTTTCCTTTTTCTTTTCTTTTCCTTTTTCTTTTCTTTTCTTTTTCTTTTTTCTTTTCGTGCTTCATTTATTTCTTTTCTTTTGTTTTATTTTTTGTTTTATGTGACTTTTTATTGTTCTTTTCATTTTTTACATTTTTATCTTTCTTTAATTTCTTTTTCTTTTCTTTCCTTTCCTTTCGTTTCCTTATTATTTTTTTCTTTCCTTGCTTCAATTTATTTTTGATTTTCATTTCATGTGATTTTTCATTATTCTTTTCTTGTCTTTTATTTTCTTTATTTTTTCTTATTCTTTTTCTTTTCGTGCTTCAATTTTTTTATTTATATTTATATTTTTATTTTTGAATTATTACTATTCTTTCATTTTTTATATTTGTTTTTTATTTCCTTTTTATTTTTATCGTGATCAAATTTTTTTATTTGTTTTTGTTTTTATGTTTTATTCTTTTTTTGTTTTCTTTCTTTGTTATTTTTTCATATAGAACTTCACATTGTGTACATATGATGTTCTATAGTTTACTCTATTATGTTCACATAGTATACATGTAATGTTGTATGATATATTTTTGTGATGTTCACGTGTTAGACATGTGTTGTTATGTAATGTTTTTTTTTATTGTTCACGTGGTATACATGTAATATTCTATGATGTATTTTGCAATGTTCGCGTAATATACATGTGATGTTCTCGTAGTTTACATGTGATGTTTTATGGTGTTTTTTGTGATGTTCACTTAGTATACATGTGATATTATATGATGTACTTAGTGATATTCACGTAATATATATATGTGATGTTCTATAATGTATTTTAGTGATGTTCTATAGTGTATTAAGTGATGTTCACCTAGTATACATGTGGTGTTCTACGATGTGTTTAATGATGTTCATGTAATATATATACGATGCTCTGTGGTGTATTTAGTGATGTTCACTTAGTACACATGTAATGTTCTATAGTATATTTTAGGATGTTTGAAAAGTATCCATGTGATGTTCTTTTAAATTTTTCCTATTACATGTTTTTATTTTTTTCCTTATGCTTTGCTCTAGATATTGTTTTTTATTTATGTTATGTATTTATTTTTATGTATATTATATTACCGATTTCATGAACCTAAAACTATAATACTGTTCTTCTAAAGAAAGAACATTTTTCTTACGAAGACCGAACATTGTTCTCAGAACCTAGAACTTCGTCTCTGCTTAATAAAGGAAAATATTATGTCTTCATAAAATAAATGTTCATTAATAAAATTTTATCTAAATATATCCATGTAGGGTCTTGTTTCGAATGATTTATTGAAAGAAACCCAATGATATAATTGGAATTTAATTTGGATCTTGAGTTTAACAGTTATTACTTTTTTTAAGTACATTGAAAGTTACTTGCGTGCGTTAGGTGGGCGGATGGGTGACGTGGGCCGTGCGCCAAGGGCCAGCATGCGCTTGGGGACCAGCATCGCCCGGCCAGCATACGCTTGGGGACCCGCATCGCCCGCGCGCGGTAAATTTGGCGCGCGCTGCGGCCAGGCGCAGGGGTACCCTCCGATGGGCGGAATCTGAAGCTGATATTAAAGTCGGCTAAAATTATTTTGTTGTGAAAAAAAAATACTGTATATTTTAGCTCCCCATGGCCTCCGGCTCTGCCTTGAGCAGAGCTCGGCAAAGTGGAGGTTGCCTTCTTCCTGCATCACCTCGTGCTCAACTACAGGTGAAATGAAAAGAGAAACTTATTTTACATTATTCGTGCCCTAGTTCTATAGTACTAGCTATATCCTATATACTTGTATTGGGATTATATGAATACGTAATATAGTTTCGATGATTAATGTGCTGCGCATGCATAATTGATCTTTTGAAAGGGAAAAAAAAGAACATTGATGCATATGCACACCACGCAGGTGGAGGGTGGAAGGCGAGGCCGACGTTCCGATGCCGTACCCGTACGTAGAATTCAAGAGTGGCCAGCCCATGTTGATGGAGCCAATCTGATCCCCCGCATCGGCGCCCGGTTAGCTTGTCGCGGCGATATGCCGCTCACTCCGTCCATCAAAGAGTGCAATTCTTGTTTTCCAAAAAATCAATCAGTTTGAATTTTGACCAAAACTATATAAAAAATACTAACATTCCTCATACAAAATTAGTATATTAGATTAGTCATAGAATATATTTTTATAATAAATTTATTATGAGACATAAATATTAATACTATTTTCTATAAACTTTGTCAAATTTGAACTATTTTAACTGGCACGGATCCCATAATTGCATTTTGTCCCAGACGGAGGGAGTACAAACTAGGGCTTGCTGCGCAAATTTAAAAAAAAAAAAGTGGTCTAGCGATCGCTGCGCATTTGGTCTGAGCCATAGCGTTGGCTCAAGTTAAAAGGCAGCCGAATTTACTGTTCGTAAGAACACCTTGACGAATCCCAAGAATGATGAATGAAAGACGACTAGACGAGGAATAAAACGAGAAGAGGAAAAACACGAGAAAATTACTGTTCGTTCGGAGGGAGTACAAACTAGTGCTTGCGCAAATTTAAAAAATAGAAATGTTATACAACACACATATGTTTTAGCAAAAAAAAAACATGAAATTTTTTTGTGGCCCTATCAGCACGGCCACAGCTCTACTCAGGGTCTCAAGCAAGCGACGGCACCATTGTCTTCATCGTCCCCGATTTAGTCGAGTCCTCCTTCACAGCCACCTCCGCGCAGCACTGCAGCAGGACTCTCTGACATCCTCTCCATGCGTCCGAGGCGTCGAGGTGGATGCCGCTGTCGTGCCGGGATCCACTCCCACCAGCTCCTCTTCGACCCAGGTACATGTACGTAGACAAGAACTCATCCCCGAAGAGAAGTCCGCTGCCTACGCGGGCACCGAAGAGGAGGTGTTCGGTGGCGGCGTGGTTGTCGCGTTCGAGTCCGCAGACCCAGACGCCGGCAATGGCAGTGGCGGCGGCGGCAGATCTGTGATTTATCTTTCTATAGAAAAAAAAATATAATTTGTGATCTGTGGATGCTGGAGGTTGGAGGTAGAAGAAAGGTGAAGGCTGTTGGATCTTAATCCTATGGTGCAAAAAAAATTCATGTGTTGAAACTGCATAAAACACATGGTTGTGTAAGTAGACAGAATCACATTTAAAAAAAAAAGTGGTCTAGCAATTGCTGCGCATTTGGTCTGAGCCATAGCGTTGGCTCAAGTTAAAAGGCAGCCGAATTTACTGTTCGTTCGAACACCTTGACGAATCGCATGAATGATGAATGAAAGACGAGGAAAAAAAACGAGAAGAGAGAGAAAAAAAAAGGAGAAAATTACTGTTCGTTCGAGCACCTTGACGAATCCCACGAATGATGAATGAAAGAGGATGGCCCATGCAGGTTCGTGCGACCTTCGCGTTATTAGCACGACGCTCTAACCAAATGAGCTAATAGGCCAGCTGTTTAGCTTCTTTCCGCGAAATTTTATAACGTTCTCTATGCCTCCTATTATACTCTGCAGCCTACTTGCACACTCTGCGAACGCACACGGCACACCCACACGACCATGCATTAATAGTCCAACCGCACCCATGCAACCGGGTTAGATTTCTTAGCAGCCGACAACCTTCACCACCACACGACACGACAGTAGCAGCCTCAAATGTCAATATATTTTTAATGATTCAATATTTATATTGAATAAAGTAAAACATGTAATTTTTTAGACCAGTACTTAGCCAAGTGCTGATGCATCACCAAAGCTAGAGGAACTTGCTACACTTGAAGATACATTTTAATCTCATATGAGAGCTTAGTGATCATAATC